GGCCGCGCGGGCCCGGGAGCGCGAACCTGGGCCGGGCCCACGCGCTCGCGCTCAGCCCGTCCCTTGGAAGCCGTCCTGGGCACAGGCGTCCGTCGGAAGAGTTGGAGGGACAGGCTGCCTGCGACTCCTCCCGCTGCCCTGGCCAGGCCCGCGTGCCCTAGGCGACGCGGCAACCGGCCGCCAGGGACTTTACCCCGCGCCTCCTCAGGGCCCCCGCCCCCCCAAACCTGTGCCTTCAGTGCGCATCGCGCACCTGGGACCGGCACCTGGCGGGGTGAGGTTGGGAGGATTGTCCCGAAAATGCCGGGACCTTGATGGTCCTTAGCTGAGGACGGTCAGGCCCCGGGTGGCAAAGACCAGTGACACGCACCGGCCACCCAGGGAGAAAGGGCAAGCCCACACCGAGCGCCTTGGCCCCTGCCTCCCAGCCTGGAGTTCCCACCACGCGCGCAGAGCGACTGTGTCTCTGGCCCTTTGTTTCAGCCCCGCAGGTAGAAGGCTAGAACAACCGGACTGAGGGACTTAGCCCAAGTACGCACACAGAAAACCCGGCCACATGGTAGTAGGCACTTTTAAAAAGTCTACTTGATAAACCACGATGCCCCCGTTAACCGTATTTCCTCACCTGAACCTCTTCTCCCAAGCCCTCCGTCGGCCTTAACCTGTTTACTCACCAGACTGGAAGCTCTCTGAAGGGGGCCCGTGTGCCACAGGGGCTCTCTCAATGGATCCCTTGTGATTGGCGCATAAGTAGATGTATTTGTTAACTGCCCGCCTTTGGGATCTGTGTTATTATTGTGCGGCTTAAGGTTGTAAACTCTCGAGGGCCAGGACCCGGTCAGGATTACTAGCTCATGCCAGGCACAGCATGCTGCCCAAAGGGACGGGCCATCGTGCTTGTTGCAGCTGATGTCACTGTTCAGGAGGCAGGCGCCCGCCTGTTGGTCTGGAGAAGCCCTTTCACGTGGCTGTGCGTCCTGAATGAGGAGGAAACTAAGAAGCTGCCATTGCTCATGCCCAACTGAAGGCGCATTTGCTGGTGCGAGATGTGGCTGCAGTCAGCATCAGAACACAATGGGCGATGCGACTGTCCAATACTGAGAATGGGTTTGCAGGGAGCCACAAACCCTGGACTTTAACTCCAGTTTGCAGCTGGAGCTTCAAGGGGAAAAACTAGTCAGGTTTTCCTCAGTGTGAAGTAAAACTGTCCCATATAAGGATGAAACCTGTGGGTCTTCTTCATCTATTTACCCCAAGGTCGAGCTGAACCCCAAGCTGTCAGAAGAAGGAGGCTGCAAGCAAACTGGACTCCATCAACAGCAATTGCCCCAGGGGAGGGGGCAGTGGAAGGGCTCCTTCCTGCCATTTATGGATGCAAGCTTCACCCTGTACTTCCGCAGCTTATTTGTAACCTAGTCACTTTACAGTTAGTTCAGCTCCCTGCCCGCTTCAGACCCCAGCGCCCAGGAGTAGGGGTTTTCTCTGTGCATCCTCAGATATGCCCTGTCTTTGCCCAAGCCAGCCTGCTCTAAATGGACACTGGTCAGTGATCCAGGCAGAAACTGAAACAGTAACAATTGGACAGTGTCAAGAGACTCAGGCAGAGATGCCTCGGGATTGCCCAGCCTCCTCCACTGCCCTTGGCACAGATCTTCTTATTGTCCTGGACAGAAAAACCAAATCCCCTCCCCTAGCTTGGAGGGGCCATACTCCAGGGTTTAGCTCCCAAGATCAGAGTCTGCCTGCCTAGCCCACTTCCTGTTCCCCCTGATTATACAGGCTGAGACCATCACCATCCCTCTTCCCCAAACTAGCCAAGACTTCTGCTCACCAAGGAGATTAAGGGGAGTGGAACTGGGGCTGTAAGGGAAGATTACTAAACTGTTCGGCAGTTCTCTTTAGGGACGGCACATCAAAATACATATTTGGAAAATGCTCACAATTAACACTGGGAGAAAAACAGTAAACATGGTGTCACTTTGCCAGGCTCAACAGTTTTGTTTTGTTTTGTTTAAATGCTAATGGCCTCAAATGGGGAGCAGCATCCATCAGTTAAATAAACAAGCCACTAGACTGAAACCAGAAGTCAACACATGACTAATCTACTAATTGGGAGAAGGCTTCGTGGAGCGAGGAACAAGACAGCAAAGCATGCTGAAGGCTGTGTAGTGGACAGCGCAAGCACACGGCATGTGGGGCTTGGTGCCAACAAGACCTGAGTTTGAATCCTCCTTCTAACACTTGTTAGCTGTATGGCCTTCACTAAGTTGTTTCATTTTTATGAGCCTCTGTTTCCC